TCTTCTCCCCCCCATCCTCCGCCCCCCTCCTCCTTCTCTCCCCGTCCTCCTTCTCCTCCCCAGCACGCGCGCCCGATTGGGCATCATTTGCACGTATTGCACTTCAGGGTGCCCTTCTTTTCGTCGCGCGCGACATGGCCAGGGTTCCCGGGAAACGCCGACTTCGGTAGTCTCCTCTCGCACGCGCCGCTGCACTGATACGCTCGGCAACTGCGCGCTGTGAACACGAGTTTCTCACAGCCCCCGCACACCACTTTGAGTTGTTTCGTCTTTCGATGATGTTCCACTTGCGCCGGCTTCACATGTTTCGTGTCCGAGAACGCTCCTCCGCACGCCGCGCACGTCAGCGGCTTAGCGTCCGCCTCAGCTTTCCGCTTCTTATTATTCAGCTCGCGCGTCGTCCTCTCGCGCTCTTCCGCGCACCTCCGACATAGCCTCTCCCCTGCTGCTTTGTGCTTCTTTTGAGCATCGGACATCTCCGCCTCCTCTGGGCACGCCGCCAGACAGTCATCGTTCGAACAAAGCACTTGGCCCACGCGTTTCCAATTATTCGACTCGCGCGTCGTCCTCTCACGTTCTTCCGCGCATTTCCGACGCAACCTCTCCCCTGCTGCTGCGTGCTTCTTCTGGGCTTCGGACATCTCCGCCTCCTCTGGGAATGACGCCAGACAGTCATCGCTCGAACAACGCACTTTGCCCACGCTCTCGGCCCATTTCGCGTTGCAACGGCGAGACTTCTGTTGCCCTTTGACACCGCTGCACTTGACACAGCACAAGGTCCGAATTATTCTCGCGTCGACCCCATCGCCAACACCTGCCACGCCCCCATCGCCGCCCTCCTGCACGCCTCCATCGCCCTGCGCTGTCGTTGCCCATCCGTCGCGCATCTTGCGCCATTTCTCGTCCCGGCTCTTCATCTCGGCGGTGCACTCTTTACAAAACGCCGGCCTCTCCTTCCGCTGGAACTCGCACTTCGTGAACGCCTCCGCCAGCAGCCGTCGTCGGCAACGCCCGCGCTGATCGCGCGGCATCAGCTTCGCCTCCCACTCCTCCCAGTCCACTTTATCCCCGCGAAGCGCCTGCAACAATTTCTGCGTGCCTGGCATCTCTCCCGCGTTGCACGGCTTCCTGTCGAAGGGCCTGAAAATCAGCAAGTTCTCCCGCCTCCGCGCGCGCGTGATGGCAACGTAACTGGACATCCAACTCACGCCGCGCCCTCTTTCGAGGTCTGCTATCACCGCTGCCATGGTTCGGCCCTGGGCAGAGTGCGCCGTCACTGCCAAAGCCGGGGTTGCCATAAATTGGGTGCGTTTCACAGTCAAGACTGGATGCTTCCGATACCCGTCCAAGAACCATTGCCGCCCTTTCGATGGGCAGATCGGATACAGCCCCGGCTCCCGCCCGGGCAGGTGCCACTCCTTCGTCTGGAAGTCCAACACAATCACTCGCGGCAGATGCAACACCACTTCCTCGTCTTCATCTCCCACGACCTCGTCCTCGTGCAGCACCCATCCATGGATCGTGGCCGTGCGCCCCCGCAGAAGCTGTTTCTTCGACCGATCCAAGTGATCCCCCAAAGCCACGGGCATCCCTTTGGCCAGCGGCAGCCACCCAGGCAAGCTCGCGCACTCCTTGTCGCGGTACCCGAGCCAACGTATCTTCCCAGCCAACGTATCTTAGCCTCCACCGTGTACGGCCGAGTCGGCGCTCTGTGCCACCTGGGGTGCTTGTAGACGTTTCTCGTCCTTTGCCCGGGACAATGGACCCCCTAAAGACGCGTACCGCACGGGGTGAAGACATATCCCCAGTGGTGTTGGGCCCCCTGGACCCCTACCAGAGCCGCGGGGCGAGGGGGTGAGCGGGCGCGGGGTGTGGGGGGATCCTCATCCGTCACCGAGAGCGCGACGCTCGAGCGAGCGAGAGTTAAATCTTTTTTTCCACTCCTGAGCTGCCTGGGACCCCACAGAGGCCCCGAGCCCAGGAACCCCCCCAAGGAGCGCCTTTCCCCCCAAGGAGCGCCCTGGGAAGGGAAATACAAAATAATTGTGATACCTGTGCGACGCGCGAGATGAAAGTACAGGGGGGTGCGTGTGCGTGAGGTGTGGCGGAAGCCTGAAGAATCCACGTCCGGAAGTGACGTGTTGCCGGAGGCAGGTCCGCGGATGCTGTAATGCAATGGATCCAATGTGTCCAATGCTTGCATAATTCCTACATAGTGTATTGTATTACATTATTATGTCTCCCCCCCTAACCCCCCCCTGGAGTCGCGCCACTTCCATCGACCCTCAGGAGGAGGGCCCCTTCTGGGCCTCAAAATCTAGAAAAACCTATGGAAAACCGATTTGGGCACCTTGAGCCTTTTGGGGATCCAAGAGGGCCCCAAGACGGCTCCAGATGGCCCCAAGACGGCCCAAGACGGCCCTAAGACGGCCCGAGATGGCCCCAAGAGGGCCCAAAAAGAACCCAAGACGGCCCAAGAGGGCTCCAAGAGCGACCACAAGAGCGCCTCCAGAGGCCAAAAACATCGATATTCCTTACGTTTTTGAGCGATTTTAGTTTTCTCGCCTTTTTCGCCTCTCCGAAGCCCATGACGGCCCGAGCAGCCTCCAAGATGGCCCCAAGAAGGCCCAAGAAACACCCAAGGGGGCCCCAAGACGGCCCCAGAGGGCCACAAGACGGCCCAAAGAGGCCCCCAAGACGGCCCAAGAAACCCCTGAGACGGCCCAAGAGGACCCCAAGAGGGCCCCAAGGCGGCCGCGAGAGGCCCCAAAGAAGTCCTCCGAAGGGGCCAAACGGCGCGAAAGCGCCCCAAGACGGCCCAAGACGCCCCCAAGAGGCCCCAAGAGGCCACCAAGAGGCCCCCAAATGGCCCCAAAAAGCCCCCCAGAGACCTCCGAAAAGTCCCCAAGAAGCCTCCAAAAGGCCCCAAAGAAGCCCCCCAAAGGCCACATAGCGACTGGAGTGTAATATTATTTCCCCCCCTGGACGAACTGCGGCGCAGCGCCAGCCAGGTGGAAGTTGGTCACGGCGGCGCCCATGATTAGAGCCAGCGCTGGAAGGGAAGATGGGGAGGGAGTCAAAAAAGGGGAAGAGGCCAGAAGAAGTCCCCAAGAGGCCCAAAGAAGCTCCCAAGAGGCCTCCAGGAGGCCCCCAAGAGGCTCCCAGAAGGCCCCGCGACGTGACTGTACGTGCTCCGGACGTGCACCCCGCGAAGCGAGAGGAATCGTACATAAAGAAAGAAATGCGCCGACCCTGTCGGCGTGTGTGAGAGGCTTATCCGTTGGAATCGTCCTCGTCATCGCTCGCCGTCGTCGTCGTCGTCGTCGCTGTCGCCGTCACCGCTCCCCCCTGTCCCTGTCCGTGGACCCTCCTCAACAACGTCCCAGCCAAAGAGAAATCAAGCAAAGTCGCAATCGAGTCCAAAGGAACCCCTTCTCTTTGATTCCTTCCCCGCAGGGGGGGTCCCGGGGGGGGGGGGGGGGGGGGCGGGCGTTGCGACCCCCCCCCCCCCCCTGTGAGGGAACATCCAACCCTGGGAGAAGCGTTCCCCTTCGACTCCTTGCCTCCCACACACATCGGGCTCCCCCACTCAGGGTCGGCAGCACCAACCGCAAGGCCTTCACAATACAGAAAGAAAGGACACAACACAAACACACATTAAAAGCACAACGGGAGAAAGAGCGAGAGAGAGAGAGAGTGAGAGAGTGAGAGGGACAGGCAGACAGAGATAGGGGGGAAAGAGAGATATATAGAAAGAAGGAGAGAGAGAGAAAGAGAGAGAGAGACACCGATGCGGACGGGAGTCCGTCCGACTGTCGAATGGGCAAGCGGCTCGCGCAACCTCTTCTGTGGGCTGGAGAGCAGCAACACAAAACGGGGAGGGCCATGAGAGAGAGAGAGAGAGAGACAGAGAGACGAGAAAGATGGAACATGAGAGAAAGGGATAAAAACGTTGAGAAAGAGAGAGAGAGAGAGAGGGAGAACAGAAGGAGGAGCCGCAGGCGCAGAAGCAGGAGGAGGAACACCGGCAGCGGCAGCTCGCGAGGGAGAAAGAAAGAGAAAAAGATCCATCTTCACTGCCAGGCGAGCGTCGCTCTCTCGCCGGAACTCATCTTTCTGCTCCTCCATCTTGCGCTCGTATTCCTTGCGAGGGTGGGGTCAAGGGAGGGGGCACGACGAGGAGGGAGAGGGAGGAGGAGAAGGAGGAGGAGGAGGCGGAGGACAACGAGTGCCCTTTAAAACGCGAGAGGCTTCAGCAAATGTTGTTGCACTGCACATCTCTTCCGCAGCCAGTTGCTAGCCAAAGACGAAAAAGCCAGCGAACTCACAAGCCTGTGGAAGGCGAATGACAGGCAGCCAGCAACTCCACTCTTATCACGATTGCTTGAATCATCGAGCTCTCAGCGGTGCCGGTGAAGATATCAAATGCCACCGTTGCGACGGCACGAGGGAAGTAACGCTTTTCATCGCCCTCATCCAGCTGCTGCTGATCCTCCCCCGCTTGCTTCAAGCACTCCTGCCCCAGATTTGCACGAGCTGGCTTCTGCCATTCGCTCAACCCCACGATCGCAGATCGATCGTGGCCCCCTTCCGCCAGCATCCGTGAACCTTCCACTGGCTTCTGCTGTACAGGAAACCGGTGGTTTCCCTCGTTGGGTCTAGCACACGCACCGATCACCGCGACATCGTCGCGCAATGTGGCAGTTATCTCATTTGACCTGCCTTCGGAGTGGAGGTGGTTCAAGGGAACAGCTTCCATAGCATCACATTCTCATTTAGAGACAAGAATTTACCTTTCCCCATGCATGGTCTCAGTACGGCCACCTGTAGCCCAAGATGGACCAACTCTCCTCCCGATCTTCTTCCCCGCCCCCTCCACAACTACACATTACGAATGCTCCTCCTCCTCCTCCTCCTCCTCCTCCTCCCTTCTCCTATGTACGCACTTCCCCGTCTCCGATTGCGCATCATACGATAGGGGCCGTTTTTCAAAGTTTGAGGTCGGGTGTGACGCGCGTCCGCGGGCAGAGCAAAAACGGCGCAGCGGGGAGGGATGGGAGGGAGGAGTCGGATGTCAGCTGTGGCGCCAGCGCACCTAGCTTGCCTCTCCCCCTTATTCCATCAGCCGACCAGGCCCGCGAGCAGTGGACCGCGCGCTCGCGGTCGAAGAACCATGTGCCGCCATACTTCTGGGTGGGCCCGTGGTTGATCTCCTTGCCGAGGACCTCGTTGGCGATCTGGCGCGGGGACTGATCGGGCCCGAAATGGAGCCTTGCCGCAACTCCATCAGGAAGGTCCACGGCGAAATGCCGCCAGCTCCCATCCTTGCGCAGGCGCGAGGCAAACACGAGGGGGCCCGAAACCAAAACCTTAAAGTGCTGGCCAATGGAACTGTCAGTGTGCTTGTCAGCAGCGACGCCGACGTCGCTGAAGGGGCCGCCAGCCAGCTGCTTGACGGTCGAATCGGGGGCGGGGGGCAACGGCGCAGATCCGCACCAGCCTCGGGCCGACTTCGCGGTCGAAGCCAGAGTTCGAGATGTCCACGGTTTGGGCCTCGTCATTGGCCACCACCAGCTCACCTTCGAGGGCTTGGACGTCGCGGCGCAGCTCGGAGATAGCAGCCTCGTACTCATCGGGGGTGACGGGATGCTCCTGCATGCGGGAGCCGAATTCGCCGAGCTGCTGTTGGCAACGTTTGAACTGCATGGCGACGGTTTCCTGCGCCTTCGTGCAGAGCGGTTTCTCGGCCAGAGCGGGGACCTGCGCCCAGCCTTCGCGGACCACGTCAAGCTTGGCGAGGGTTGGGGCGAGCGCGTCGGCCACGGAGGCGACAACCTTGGACGCCAACTTGTCTGTGATGGACTCGGAGAGCGTGTCAAGCTTGGCGCCGGTGGCGGCGATGACCTCAGAGGTGACCAAGCGACGAACTTCGGCACGGAGAGACTGGTTCTGATGGTTGTCGAGGTCCACGGCGCTGCCACCGCCAACCCCAGGCAACTGTAGATGAGCATGGCTAGCACTCGCAGCGCCACCCGTGGGAGGGTCGAGCGCGACACAAGGCTCGCGCGAGGCATGGGGCTTCTGCTTTTTGTCCTTCTTCTCCTCCTTGAGGGCTTTGGCGACCTCAGGCATGGACGGGCCCCGGGCGGGGTCGAAGGAAGCGTAGCGCGCAAGAGCGAGGGTGGGGGCCCACCCCGCTGAGGCAGCGAAGGGTCGCCATTTTGGCCTTGAACCAAAATGGCTACGGAGGAGGGAAGAGGAGGAGGAAGAGGAGGAGGAGGAGGAGGAGGAAAAAAAGGAGGAGAAGGAAGAGGAGGAGAAAGAGGAGGAGGAGGAGGAGAAGGAGGACGGAGGGAGGAGGAGGGAGGGAGGAGGGGGAGGGACTAGAAATGAGGATGTAGAGGTGAAAGGATGAACGCGGCGAGTGTTTCCTGTGTCGACGCGCAGAGAGGGCGCGTTTGAGGCAGGCACGGGGGGATATCCTCCCAGCCCCAGAACACAGATGGCAGCGGCAAGGGGCAACCATTACAACAGGCAAAGTTGAGAGGGACAAGTGAGCTACCATTCGAGTCTGGTGCTCAAGCCCGTCCGTCGTGCAACGCTCGGGAAAAGACATAGAAAAGGCTCAACAAACCGCCCCTTCATAAAAAGATGCCTGGCCGCAAGGGTGAAGGTTCACCTGAGTTCAACAGGCCCCTGGGCTGGCTGGCGGACTTCACTCCATTCCAAAAGTGCACTGACCCACCACAGCGCCAACGGAAAAAAAACGTTTTACGGCGCCAGCGGCAGGAATAGAAATACTCCCGCCGGAGATGATGGGCCTAGCCGAAACAGGCGAATCGATCCCCCACCTGAAAAAGTGCGAGACTATGAAGAAGCACGGCCAAACAACCGCGAGCTGCCCAGACACAGTCCGGGCAAGCCCGCTCACTTGAGTGCTCTGCCCATCGATCTCGCCCGCTGATGTCGCATATCCGCGTTGCGACTCCGTGGGGCCTTGTGACGCAGTCACGAGGCGTCATCTCCTTGCATCTGCGAGAGCGAGCTATGCTATCAGCTCGTGACGGCATTCTTCAGCTTCTCGTCGCTGAACTTGACCGTGGCGTGGTCATAGTTTATCTGGCCGTCCATTACGCTGAGCATTACCTATCGGCTATCGGCCCATGCTGCCCTTGGTCATGGGGTCGGCCCGCGCGTCCCGGGTGTTATGCCACAGCAAATCGTCGATCTGCTTGGTGCGCAGCTGGTCGGCAAACCACCGTGGCCGGCCAGCCGCGCTGCTCTCGGTCGACGGCCGGGCCTGGCCCACGAGCACGGCGCTGAAGACAGACATGCCGTCCATGACGAGGTCTGCAAGGATCGCGTGCCCGCCGTCACCCCTCAGCCCCCTGACCTCCTCGGCAGAGGCGGGGCCGCGCAACGTCTCGCGCGGCGCGAGGAGGAGAGAATGCTGGCCGTCTGCTGCGCCGCATGCTGAGAGCAACTCGGATCCGAATGAGGATCTGCGCGCAAGCTTGTGCGATCGGCTCGCAGCGCCCAGAAGGTGGGGCACATGTTTGCTGGCGCCCCTCTCATGCCGTATCCTGACTCCTCCTCCCTCTTGAAGGACCCGTCGCCGTGCACAGTCGCCCGCCGCACCCCGTTGGTGAAAATGCGTTGCTGCATCGCGCGTCGGATGAGCAGTTTATTCTTGGCTCTCTGCACGGGGACGGTGAACGCTGCGACGCAGGAAACGAAAAAGTCAAGAAGCTGACCTCCGGCCTGGGTATCAGAGCGTCGATGTAGGTCGTGCTGGTCAGGCGTCGCGGAGCCATCAGCACTGCGGTGCTGGCGCACTCCGCAGCTGGCCGAGTCGTTGCAGTCACCCTTCATCGTCCCGCGTCGTCTCGATGTGGCTGATCGTGCTCTGCGTGCCCGGCGGCGATCTTCAGATCGCCAACGCGCTTGGACAACATGGGCACTAGCTCCGAGATGCCGGCAGCACAGCTGCCGGACGTCACAAGTTTAAACTCACGAAGGCACTCGGTCTTCGCCGAAGCTCTCGTAGCCAGGGACTTGCCTGAGGACGGCTGCGCTGACGGGCGGCAGGGCGAAGTTCGCCTCTCGAAGTGCTTCGCCTTGCCCCTGCATCTCTGCATAGGTCGCGCCTTGTCAACGGCGACGCGCGCCCGGTCAGGGCGACGCGCCGTCTCCGAGGATGGCAGGCGCTGAGACGCCCGCTTCGCCGCCCCAGCGAACGCCCCCAGGGCTCTGGCGCGCGCGTCGCGGAATCCCCTCAGCGCCGTCCAGCGCCGGGTGATCCCGACAGTCTTGCCGTCTGATCCCTTCCGGTGCTTCCTCATGAAGACGCGTCTGGGGTCCATTGCGCTTCGGGCGCCTCTGAGCGGCCGCTTCTCGAAACGCATGTACTTGACTCAGATGGTGGGCTCCTCAAAGATGGACGCTGCGACCTCCTTCGACAGCCTCGACGCTTCCTCGTTGGACTCGGCGCACGGCCCGCGCCAATGAAGCGGAACGCGGCGATGACGTCGGCTTGCCCGCGGCACGTCGGACAGCGCACCACACGGGCGTCTGCGCTCTGCATGAGTTACAGATGGCACGCGTGGTGCAAGATGTGGCGGCACAGCAAACGCGCCGCCCACTCGCCGTGCTGGACGGCCTCGATCGAGGCAGATGGGGCACCCCCTATCGTCGCCGCTGAAAGTTGTTGCCGAGAGAGGCAGAGCAGTCGGCGCAGCGGCCGGCACAGGAGGAGGATTAACAAATGTCTCCGCCCATCTCTGTGCGGCCTGGCGTCGTTGCTCATCTTGCTGCCGTGCGAGCTCAAACGCCAGCTGTGCGCCGTGGAGCTCGTCGACGTGCCGCCGTTGCGCGCAGTCGAGGGCGTCGCGCGCGTCGCGCTCGGATCGGCCGCCGCCGGACGCCCAGCGAAGGCGGCCCAAGCCGCCCGCGCATCCGCCGCATCACATTTTACATGCTCACAACTTATCTCTAAAGTCTGCGGCCCGGCGACTGTCGTCAGCTGCGCGCGCCCCAAGAGGCCCCCCGCAACTTGCGAGAGATGCAAGCGCCGAGGGCTGGGGACAAACACTATCATAACATCAAAAACGCGTTGAATAAACGCCAGCAACTTTGTAATGACAAACTGCCGTGCGCGAAATTGCCTGGGGCATTGCTTCGATCGCGCCATTGCGCGCGTGCAACGGCACAATATTCCGCGCGCAAAAAACGCATTGGTTTAAACGCGCAAGCTGTTACATAAAAAATGACACCGGAGAAAAGCCCAATCGTGATCAGCTTAAAGCTTTAGGGCTATGGGGCTATAAGGCTATAGGGCTAGAATGCTATGGGGCTATAGGCCTCCAGGGCTACAGGGCCATAGGGCTATAGGCCTATTGGGCTATAGGGTGATAGGGCTGCAAGGCTCCAGGGCTACAGGGCCATAGGGCTATAGGCCTGTTGGGCTATAGGGTGATAGGGCTGTATAGGGCTATAGGTCTATAGGGCTAAGGCTATAAGGCTGCATGGTTATTAAGGCTATAGGGCTACAGAGCTCTATAAGGCTATATATAAAGCTACCGGACACCTGGGCACGCGGGCACCTGGGCACCCAGGCACCCCGGCACCCAAGCACCCGGGCACCCGGGCACACGGGCACCTGGGCACCCAGGCACCTGGGCACCCGGGCACCCCCGGGCACCCGGGCACCCGGGCGCGCAGCGAAAATTAACGGCAAACCTAACCTAACCATACGAATCCGCTAGGACCCCTACAGAGGCAAGCTCTGCTTGGGCAACGAAGATGATGTCACACGACGGTTTGCAAAGCCCGAAACGTTCGCGATTCGCAATCGTCGCCGCGGGCGGCGCGCCGACAAAGTCCGCGAGCGTTCAAGAAAAATGCGCAGCGGGGGCGCGTTCCCTCTCGATCCAGGCGTCGCGGCAGGCGGACCACGTTGCTGCTCTCCCGGGCGGTTGGCTCACGTCAACGGGGCTGTCCCGGAGAGACCAAACCAAGTCCTGGGGGGGCTCCGGCAGCGGCGGGGGCGCAGCTGCCGGCGCGGACTGGGGCGGCCGCGTGGAGTTCGATCCACGCGGCGCGCTGATGCCGAGGGCCGAGACCGAAGGCGCGCATACCCAGCTCGGCACCTGCGCGTCGGCAGACTGGGTTGGGGGCGCGGCGACGCGCGCGGCGAGGTCGCCCATCCAGTCGCGCCCCTGGGTTTGTCCCAACGGGAATGCACCGCCCACTTGTGCCCACCACTGCGTTGAACTCTCACTACTGAAAAATAAGTATTGTTGATCGCCCCTGCGGTGGCCGTTTTAAATGCTTCCCACGGGGATTGCACCGCGTTTTCTCACCGCGAAAATCACCGGGCTCAAACTGCGTCGTTGGCCCCCGGATTACAGCAACAACATCGGAGCTCGCCGGAGACCCACTCGTAATTTAGCCAAGGCCCCCGCCCCCGCCTGAGACATCAAATTTATTCCAGCATCGCCCTCTCGGCGCTCTGGAGTCGCGCTCTCGCTGGAGACTTGCTTGCAATGTATATAGAAATCGCGGCCTCGCGCTGGAATTCCCCGCAATTTACTTAAGCGCCGCGCGCCCGACACTCGGGCGCCCAGGAGTCGCGCTCGCGCTCGGGACCCCTTCACAACTTACATGGGAATCGGGATCTCGCTGCCCTTCGCGGCCCCGATTCAGCCCTTCGCGGGCCCGTTGCAGCCCTTCGCGGCCTCGTTGCAGCCCTTCGCGGCCGCGGCCCCTTTGCAGCCCCTCGCGGCCCCCGTCGCCGCCCTTCGCAGCCCCGCTGCAGCCCTTCGCGGCCCCCTCGCTGCCGTCGCGGCCCCACATGCACGCGCTCTTCGCGGCCCCCTCGCTGCCCTTCGTGGCCCCGTTGCAGCCTTCAGTGTCCCTGTCCTGCAGGCCCTCTGCGGCCCCGCGTTCTCTGTCCTTTCCTGGCCCCCGCTTGTTCGCGCCCGTCGCGGCCCGCGCGCGCGCCCGCCGCGGCCCCGCCGTTGCCCCGCGCGGCCCCCCCGCTATCCTGCGCGGGCCCGTTGCCACCCACAGTGGCCCCGTCGTTGCCCTCTGTGGCCCCGCATTATCTGCCCTTCGTGGCCCCCGCTCGCTCGCGCCCTCCGTGGCCCCGTGCGCGCGCGCGTCGCCCCGTCGCAGCCCCTCGTGGCCCCCTTTCTGCCCTTCGGGGCCCCGCTGTCGCCGGC